CACGGTCCTTGTGGGTCGGGTGAGCTCCATAGGGGTGGCTCCGGTCTGGGCCTCGAGGAACCAATTGACGAAACATTTCGAACGCATTTCTCATCATGGAGTTTGGATGGATCTGGCTTGCATTTCGAAATCTGCGTAGGGTTGCATCTGCTTAATCAAAAGGGGGCAATTTTTGTTGTTTCCAGCATCGTGTAAACATGGGGGTTCACGACAAGGGATGATGGGATCCATGCCCGTCGCGACGTGAGTATCAACCATGGCTACGGCAGAATTTTCTTTCTCGTAGCTGCTTCAGTAAGTAGGGAAGAGTAGATAAAGCCTTCGGGCCTTCTCTCGAAATGCTCTTCTTGTGTCTTCTCTCCATCGCAGATCACCCTCGTTCTCCAATCTCTGCAGTCACTCTTTCTCGAGCATCCACTCTTTCGCTATGAAGCTCAGCTCTTTCCTGGCCACCGGCCTCCTGACGGCCTCCGCCCTGGCCCACAACGAGATCCTCTCCCGCTCCGAGATTTCTCGTCGTGATGCCATGGCGAAGCGCTGTGCTGGACAGACTGCTCAGTTCCACAAGAAGAGACAGGCCAAGCGCATGGCGAAGCGTGCGGCCGAGTTGGAGGCGCGCGCTGGCAACTCCAGTGTTGTGATCAACACTGAGGGTGTCTACTACGACAGCAGTAAGTCAAGACATCTATGTTGAGAGCATGCAAAGGCAATGGCGACTGACCTTCATCACAGTCCAGAACAACACCTGCGTGCTGACCCCTGAGGTCACCGAGGGCCCCTATGTCTGGCCTCGCTCGCAGACTCTGCGCATGGACATGACCGAGGGCGAGGTCGGCGTCCCCCTGACGCTCGATGTCGGCATCCTCGACATGGCCACCTGCGAGCCGCTCCCTGACGCCCTCGTTTCGTTCTGGCACTGCAACGCGACCGGCAGCTACTCGTCGTTCACGCACCTGAGCCCGAACACGCGGTTCGAGGAGCTTCTCAACCAGTTGAACATTACCGATTTCGAGATCGGCGTCACTGACCTCCACACCGACGACACCACTTTCCTCAGAGGCATGTGGCCCACCAACTCGGAGGGCATTATGGAGATGCAGACCATCTTCCCCGGCTTCTACGTCGAGCGTGCTATCCACATCCACACCCAGGTCTTCACTGACTGTACGTTCACCTTCTTCTTTTCTTGACCTGCATCTAGTCTTTGATCGTATGCTGACAATGCACGGCAGGGTCTGTCCGCGCCAACGGCACCGTCAGCTCCGGCAACCTCATCAACACCGGCCAGATCTACTTTGAGGAGGACGTCTCCGCTCAGATCATGGCCCTTGAGCCCTACGTCTCTCACACCCAGATCAACCGCACCAAGAACGTCGAGGACTCTCAGAGCCTGTTCGACCAGAGCACGATCGGCGGCTACAGCCCCATCATCGAGGTCGTTCCCTTGGACGGCGAGAACATCGAGAACGGAATGGTCGGCTACATCACCATGGGTGTCGACACGTCTGCTCTTGAGAGCTAAGCATCGCAACCTGGAATATGGTGAGAATGCTACGAATGGGGTTGGGCTAGGACACATTGGTAGGATGTCAATGGCGATGAACATATAGATGAAAATGACAGGCTGTGATTGATACCGTTCATCTCTCGTTGCAAGTGTTTGTGTTTGACTCTGTGCGTGTCAGGTAATGTAAGTGGTCGTTTCATGCTCAGTGACTTGTTAATTTGACTTCCGGGCCCATCCGCGCCGCTTGTTCCAGGGAATTTCTTCCGCGGGACGCCGACCGGCAGTTTTTAGTGGAGCCGTCGGGGCCCGAAAGCCTAATTAATTACGGTTCCTCAGTGAAGTCAGCACCAACACATCGGAGAATTACTGTTCGCTTCACTTATTGCGAGTCAGCACAGTCATGTTATTCAAGAAACCTCATAAGCTCGCTCGGAATCATCATAACGTTTCCGACCCGAGGCGCGATAGAAAATAGACCGAATGCGTGCTTACGAGAGATGCCTAAAAATTCCAGCGTGGCGGTGTGATTTGCTGATCCCTGGCCCAATTAGACTTACTGTTGCCTAGAGAGGAGCAGAGCTGAGACGACAGATGACCACGTCAACTTATTCAAAAAGACCATTGCACCGCATCAACAATGACCTTGACAAAATATCATCTGAATAAAGACAATCGCAAGATGGCTGACGAAAACTCTCCGGCCAACCAGCCGGTGGATCCCTCCGACCTGGACCCGGACAGCTATGAGCTTCAAATCGCTTTGGACCAGCTGTCCGCCGGCAATACGGAAGCCCTCAAAATATACCTCGCACGCAAAGAGGGTGTCGATCCCAACACTGTGTCTCTCAGATCAACCCCATGGTCTGCGAACGAACAGGAGAACAGCAAGTACTCCTTCATCGGCAAAATGGACGACGTCCGTCCGCCGGGCGAAGATGACGCGACCTGGAAGCGAGCACCTCGAGTGGTTTTTGAAAACAGTGCGATTGAATTTGGATACACGCCACTCGACCCGGAGAAGCGCCAGTTCCGACTCCTCAGGCTTGCATCTCCATCAGAGGATGGCATCGTCAGTCAGCTTCAACTCAAAACTTTCAGCCTCGATGAAGCGCCGCCGTACTTCTGCCTCTCGTACGTTTGGGGAGACCCTAAGAGATTCATCGGTGTCAACTGCAACGGAAAGATGATATCTGTCACCGGGAACCTTTTTCATGCAATCCAAACTTGCCTCAACCGGCACCCGGACGCGTGGCTTTGGGCGGATGGTATTTGCATCAACCAAGACGACCTAGCCGAGCGGAGTTCTCAAGTCCTGTTCATGGGAGCAATCTATCGGAATGCGTCCATGATTCTTGCTCATCCAGGCCACTACAAGTACGCCCTGGTTGAGCCCGAGACGGATGGACAAGATGAAACAGATACCTTGGATGACCGCATGGGCGGCTTGGGAGTTCAGGACATGTTGAGTTTTGGTATCGGTGACGATGCCAGGGAGGAAAAGGCCAATGAGTCGGAAATGTCCCAAAAGCCTGGAGACTGGCGAGGAACTAGAGAGGACGACGCGTACAGCTCTGAGAATGCACAAGGCGCCATCAGCATCATGACCTTTCTCACACGCATATGGTCTAACAACACTCGGCAAAAGGTTCAGTCCGACAAGGATTGGGAGAAGGTCAACTTGCCTGATCCCAAGACCGAGGAGGGCCAACAGGTTTGGAATAATCTGATGGACTTCTGGAACCAAGACTGGTACTTCCGTACTTGGGTTCTTCAGGAAGTCGTTCTGGCGAAGAAGGTTGTGGTGTTATACGACACTACAGCCATCAGCCTCGAAGCCATCACGGACTTTTGGGATATGGCCAGAAGCCATGGTTTGCCTCGCACGCTCCGGCTCGGCCCCTACGCAGACATCTTCAACAAAGTGATGCACCTTAGTCCCGCGAGCTCTTTTAAGGTACTCCGGGACCAGCGTCATGGACAAGACAAGGAAGCCGATGAAAGTTCTTCGCAAGAGATCATACCAACACAACCGACGATATTTGAGCTTCTGTGTCTTTCCAGAAACAATCTTGCAACGGACCAGAGGGACAAGGTGTACGGACTGCTTGGTCTCACCGACGACGCCGTCACCCACTCGATCATTCCCGACTACTCCCCCGAAAATACCGCATCGAAGGTGTTTACCGAGGTAGCTACCGAAATTGCAAATACTGAACGGGTTGTAGACCTTCTGCACCACGCTGGGATTGATCAAGACCTTCCCGACCTTCCTTCGTGGGTCCCAGACTGGACGAAGCAGTCCCGCTCAACCCTCCAGAGTCACGTGTACCAATGCGTGGGAACATCGACACCTAAGGTCTCCGTTCTAGATGTCGGAGATAAGCCAAAGATGACAGTTCGAGGAGCTGTTATTTCACGTGTCAATGTGGTGGGGGCAGCATGGAAGTACTACTCTCACGACGACTCTGCGTCGACGTTTGGTGCTTTCGAATTCGCTCCCGAACTCGACATGCCTTCCTTCAATGACGAAGATGCTCGGAACTTCATTCTGACGCTCGCAACAAACATGGTCGAAGATGTCGCAGAGCGGTATGCCGAGGAAGGCATGCACGACGCATTGGTGCGCACCATGACCGCTGACTGCTCCTGGCATGGTGAGAGGATCGGGCGAAGACCGGTGCAAGACAATGGCGAGGCGACCGAACCATCTTTGACCGAAGACAACTCTGAAGATCAAGCAAAGCCTTCTGCGTCAGACGAGTTCTTCGACGCTGTCGCGGCATTTAAGCAATTCTATGCCCGAGGCCCTGACTCGCCAGAGGACTTCAACGTCCCTGGAATTCGGGCTCACCAGAGTGGGATATTCGTGTGGCTACTCGACTTCGACGAGGACGTTGAGGCTGATCTTCAAAGGCGAATGATCCCCTACACAGTCCCCTTCCAAGAAGTACAGAAAGGTCGACGCTTTGCCATTTTGGGAACAAGAGGTCCCAAAAAGCCGGAGACCGAGCACGACGATGGCAAGGAGGAGAAGAAAGAGTCGAAGAGGAAGATGCACTATGCTACTGAGGAGTTGGAGCACCACTTCATGGCAACTCTGCCGTGGAACGCAGAGATTGAGGACTACATTGTTCTTCTGGAAGGATTCAGAACTCCTTTTGTGCTTAGGAAGTCCAAATCGGAAAGTGAAGCTGGGCAAGTCGAAGAGTACAAGGTTGTTGGTGACTGTTATGTTCACGGAGTTATGGACAGTGAGCTGTTACATTGGGCAGAAGAGGTTGACGAGAAGCTTGGTTCCGAGTTCTTCAGCACGGATAGTGAGGGCCGGAGGTATGCTGTGCGAGCACCACAAGGGTTCGTCCCTTTCACGGACTTTACTCTTGTCTGAGGAGGAAAAAAAGGGCTCGGTGGCCTTTCCCCTTCAGACAGAGCTGTATTACTACATGTACCTTTTGGTAGATCTTCCCTCAGAACGTAGAAAAACAAGCCCCTCTCATGGTGTATAAGGCAGAATGGTAATTTGGGGTGTCTTCCAGATATCCCAGCTTTCCGACTCCGAAGGCTCACTAAAGGGGGTGAGAGTTGCAAAGCGCATGCTATCGAATAGTGTTAGAGACTTCATTGGGGACTAAAGTCGGAGAAGAACGTACGTGTAGTTTCCTGCAGCAATATAGCTGCCGTTTGCCAACTTTCCAAGCCACCAGAAGCGATCAGTCAACTCACTCCATGATGTGGTGCGCTCAATTCCCCGGATGGGGAAGGGTAGCACCTTGTCCCTGTCCATCGTCGCAGGATCGAACGTGCTCGCACCAACGGAGTATGTCGAGTATGTGGCGGAGCCAATGTATCCATCCTGACCTACTACCGGCGGATACTTCCATTGACTCTCCTCGTATGCATCATCAAAAATCTGGTTCGAAATACATGTAAGTTTCGAGAATTTCCAAAGTAAGAGATGATAGAGACTCACATCCCAACGCAGCTCCTTTGTTCCCCACTTGAACTGAACGTGAACCTTTGGAAAGTCCTGCGCAACCCGGCTGGTGTTGAATGCGTAGCTAGCAACTCATTAACTTTGGCGATTACAAGTTGCCGACACCATGTTCACTCACGTATGATACGCGTCAATACCGAGGCTGTTGGGGCCGGATCTCTGCAGGGGATAGCCATCTGGGAACATTTTCTCGGTCATTTGAGCTTTGAGGTCAAATGCAGCACCTTTCAATCGAGTAAGCTTTGGGAACACGAATGATATGATTCAATGACTCTCACCAAGATACGGAACGGAGAGAGTATCTCCATTTCCGCTAGTAATGACAACCTTGCCACTGTAAATGGGCAGTTTGGACTCGTCGTCAACTTGGGGATACTTGAAGCTGATTCTGACGGGCTGTTAGTGGGTCTTCGGGAATATCTTCGGCTCATACCTACTCAGCTGTTCTTGTCTCGCCAGGGTTGACGATGAAAGCATCCGTGGGTAAGGTAACGTCTGGGAGAAGTTCAATTGGCTTGACGTCAAGCACGTCAGCAAGCAGCTGGGCAGTCCTGCCTTGTGCGTTAAACCCTCCAGCTGGTTCCACAGCGAATGTGTAGCCCACGGGATCATCGCCGTTGTTAGTGATGTCGACTCTATGATTAGCATTGAATGATGCCGTATTGTTGAGCGCCATCTTCTCAAACGAGAGCGAAGTCTTGGATTCCAGCAACTTCGTGGCGTTGATGAGGCCATTGCCAGCCTGCGCAACCGGCGCGAAGAAGCCGAAGTCGGTTGGTAATGCTTGAGGCTCAATGGCCTGCCACGGAAGAGACTCCCCACAGGAGATAATACGCCTTGAGAGATCCTTGGCAAATCCCTTGCCATGCACTGAGCGGCCCCCATACTTACCGATGTAGAGCGCAGCAACGCCAGCAACGTAAGGAGTCGCCATTGACGTTCCCGAAAGAACTTTCCATGTCTTATCGAGATAGGTGCTGTAGATGCTGGCACCAGGAGCCGCAATATCGGGTTTGATTTCCAGCTCGTAGGTACCGCCCCAGCTGGAATACTGTGAGGGGATCCCACCGGCAGCATCGAAGAAACCAACTGCCCAGTTGGGATCTACAGGGTTGGTGAAGTCTGCAGTCACGTTGCCGCCGGTCTTGACTGTTTCGATAATCGCCGCACCGGCTTTGGCGTCAATGAGGGCCATTTGCGATTTGTATGCCGAGTTGGCGACGAGCTCAAAGGGTCGGTAGTCGTCGTTGTATATGAGCATATACTGTGCGCCGAACTTCTCCACGTTCGTCTGCTTGACGTACTGAGTGCATCCTCCTCGTCTAACGAGGACAATGACGTTGGAGAGATCCGGCGTCGTGTCTGGCAGTGTGTTGCAAGCTTCAGCTGATGCTTTGGTGTCAAAGGACAGGGGAACGATGGGCAGACCGGTGATGTTCCACAGCGGCCTGTTGACGGGCGGAATGTAAGCCAGCTGGGTTGTGTTGGAAACACCCTCTCTGCTGAAGGTTGCGTGCCACGGCTTAGCAGGCACTCGGCTCGTGTCAACGGAGGCAACGGCTAGAACTTCCTTTCCTGACGAACCGCTGCTGGCGTAGAATGGGCCCTCATCGCCATCGTTTCCGGCTGCGATAGTGACAACGACGCCTTGCTCTACGATTCTGGATGCCACCGTTGCCCAGGGACCATCTGAAAAGCCAGCTGCGCGCCCGATGCTTGCAGTGATGATATCTGCCTGTGTCCGACGTTGATCAGCACGAATTCCCATTGTGCGCGTGGGTGGTGGAACATACACCTGACTCATAGGCCATGATGGTTGCGTCAATAAGTGTATCTTCATCAGTACCTTCAAACTGCGGAGTACTTCAGTTAGCGCTCTGGAGAAAACTTGGATCGACGCTTCTTACGGCACCAAAGACTTTAAAGGCGAGAATTTCGGCTTCAGGAGCAACCCCTGCATAACTAGACGAATGAACCATCAGTCTCAGAGATCTAATGCCTTCAGAAAAGGGGGGTCAAACTCACAACTCACTCTTCCCAGCGATGATTCCGGCAACGTGTGTGCCGTGGCCCAAAGAATCGAGAGGGTCATCATCAGGCACCTTTTCGTTGGAACCATCGAATTCTGCGACGGTTAGCAAATGGTTAACCACAAGAGGTAAAGTCGCGATCACCTTCTCCGACGAGATCGTAACCACCAGAGACCTTGAAACCGGTCCCAAAACCACCACCAAGCTAGCCAGCCGTTGTCAGATACCACGGCATTTCTCGTCACAAAGACTACTTACAGCAGGGTGTCGGTAGTCGACGCCAGAATCGATCACAGCAACCTTGACTCCCCTACCAAAGACTCCCGCTTCGTGAAGTTTGTCTACCCCAGTGGAGTAGTGTATGGACCAATTCTGGGCTGTCGCGTCGTCGCTGAAAGAAGCCTGCGGCGTGAGAGGTGCGAGCTTGTAAGTCTTGACCGGCCATGCCTGCGAGACTTCTCGGAGGCTCTGCAAGGTGTCCAAATTGTCGCTGGTCGACTCGATACTCAAACCGGAGAAGATCTCGCTATCGAACAATCTGAGAACGGTGGATCCCGTGGCCTCAATTTTCCGGGATAGATCGGTTAGTTGGGCGCCCTGGGTGTGACTTGTTAGAGAAGTATCATGAGTAGAAGTCTCTTCTTCTGACGTACTGATTCGACTTCGACGATAAACTTTTTGGTTCCCGAGAGAGTGAAATTCTTGCTTTCATCTCTTCTGCGTCTGTCACCAGGGGAAGCATGAACGTTGGTCAGCCCCAGGGCTGCTGCCCAGATCAGGAGATCAAATCGCATGATGATGAGGCACGAGACGATGAGAGATCGCCTTCAAGCCATTGCTCGACGAGGCTCGCAAGACTTCATATTTGAGAAACTCGAAAGAGAACCCGGATAGCACCCAAAAGGTGGTCCTCGTGTCTGCATGTGCATTAGCTGCTGATTCCTTGTCGCGTAAACTTCCTGTCGTAGCATCTGAATGTAGCATTTGGCAGGTTGCAAATCCGCCTTCTAGATTGGGATCATGGCTCTCAGCTATCCCCTGTAGCCAGGGCACACAAGGTTGCAATGCGCGCTGTAATGGGGCCAATCTTCCGCCCGTGTTGCATGGGGTTCATTTAGAGTCCCCGCTGGAGCGGCTTTGCCAAGAGCAAGATGGATCCAAATAGCGCATATTAACTCAATTGCATGCGTTCCTGATCCGGTCCCTGACGATCCGGCTCAGTGCGAGGTGAGTTGCTTATTCGTACTTCACGGCGAGCCGTGCTATCTCACGTGTGGCATGTGATTAATGCTCTCTGCAGCCTTGACAGCCCATCAGATTTGGTATCAGTGAGGCTGCACATTGACCAAAAATGAGTTCACCACTAGGGTCAGACACAATGACGCAAAAAACACAGGATCTCTCCCCGAGGTGGGCTCGAACCACCAACCTCCAGATTAACAGTCTGACGCGCTAGCCAATTGTGCCATCGGGGAATCGCAGGAATTCTGGTTGAAGGCATTGCGATGGCAAGTGGATTATGCGGCGGAGTCAGTGTGATTGTGGGACAGTCCAGCCCTAGAAGCGAGAGGTGTTGGATGAGATTGTGGGACCGATCCTTGACGAAGATACGTAAGTGCAGCATGAGCATTAAATCAGAGAAGCCAGCGAGCCGCTTGAAAGGCGCGAGACTGTTCATCTGCTGAAGGATTCGCGAGGTTTGGCTTCTTCGAGGACATTCGTCATGGCCGGCATCGTAATACTGGAAGCTTGAGGGGGAGGTTCAGGTACTCGGCACGACGCAAGACTCATGGGCTCCGACTAGACTGATTAGCTCCAAATCAACTATGAAGAAAGACAGAAACATCCAATTGACAATGAATCTCATGACAAACCCCATCTTGTGTCATCAAAGAGCGTTGGCCGTCCACACGGCCTCTTTCGGCGCGGGGATCGGCGGGCGGCATGCCGGCATGCGCTTTAGCTTCCCGGCGTCGGGGCGCCCACGGACAGGCGCAGCCCCGCTAATTCCGGTTAGAGCCCCTAGGATCTCGCGGTTTTCTAAGCCACCTGAGTAATCGGCCTTCAGAACAAGGGTGACATCATTCGTGCATCGCCGACGGGTGATCCCCTCTTTGATTACAAATAGTAATTCAAACGACCGTCTGTGGATAGTGCAATGGCGGAGGCCCAAAATAGGCCATGCCGCCTGATAATGCTGCTTCCACTGCTTCAACCGGGTAGTCTTATTTCGATGGCCACCGGATTATCCATGGAGTGAAGACAACGGCTTGCGGATCCGGTTGAAATAAATTGTGTTATCGACCCAAGTGAGAAGAAACACTCAAGTAATTTGGGTTGATTGGTTTCAATTGCCATTCAAGCCATCACAATAGCACTGAGCGCCCTCAATCTGCCCGCCTGGACAATGGCACACAACATCCTCATCACTGGCGCCTCAGGTTACCTTGGTGGCACACTTCTTGCACGCTGGAAAGAAGCCGGCCTTAGCGGTTACGACAAGCTGTTCGCTCTTGTTCGGACAGATTCACAAGCTGAAGCCGTCAAAAGTTATGGCGCCGAACCCCTTTCCTTTTCACTCAAGGATGAGATTGCTGTCAGAGACGCGGTCGTGAAAAATCGGATCACGATTGTGTACTACCTAATCGATGCACTCAACTCTGATGGCCAGAAGAATTTCATTAAGGCCTTGGCAGAAGTGAAGCGCTTGACAGGAGGGGACGTTCATTTTCTTCATGTGAGTGGTGCAGATTGGCACTTTCAGAAGGCAACAACTCTGACGAGTGTGTTGCAAGACAACCGGGGCCAAGATTTTCTCGAGCCACGCTGGAGCTCCCACAGATCGCCCGTTACTCGACACCGACCCAGATCTGTACAATATCCAGAAGGCGCAAAAGGCACCCATCCCTATCATGCAAACGGTAAATGTCGATTGAGAGTGAGATTTCATGTGTGACGGTCTGACGAAACCCAGGCCGTTGATACCAACAACATCATCATTGAAGAGGCAGCTGCGCAAGGTGTGAAAGCATACATTTTTGCGCCCTGCATCGTTTGTAAGAAAACAGCCATCGATTTCCCAAAAGACCAATCTCTGACGAAATACGCAGATGGTAAAAATGAGGGCTTCGGAAACCCCATTTCCATTCAGACCCGGGAAATTGTCAAAGCCGCCAAAGCTGCTGGTCGTGTTTACTCAATCACTCCAGGACGGCCAGTAAGCTTCGCCTCTTTGTAAAGCTCCACGTACTAGATCTGATGATGGTAGACTTGGCCAGTATGCCACGTGTCAGACAACGCAACCCTTTACCTCCAAATTATGCGTGCCATCCTGAACGGCGACAATCCTGGCAGCGGCAAGAACGGTTACTATTTGGCATCCGCTGGTAGTGTTGAGTGGGATGCTCTTTACGCTGCAATGGCTAAGGCTCTGTTCAAAAGAGGCATTATTTCCACTGACGAAGTCGTAAAGGCTGATCAAAAGGCAGTCGACATCATGGCCAGGGGTATGGGCGTGGATGCATCCCTAGTTGAGATGGGCTTGGCTGGGAAGTAAGTATCAAACCTCCACAGCAACCTTGGATATGGTATGCATAGTATGCTGATACCTTTGACTTCTCGACAGGTGCACATTCACATCTCGACGTGGCTCTGAGATTGGGTGGAAAGCTCAATACCCACCGGAACACATCCTCGATGTCGCTGATGCGGAAGTAGAGCTAATCATCGAGAATTTGAACTAGACGAGAAGCATGAAATGGTTGCTGTGTGATGTTGAATTGAATAGCTTGTTCTTTTAAAATGGAAAGTAATGCTCTTGTTGGATGATTAGGCGTCGTTCTGCAGACACGATAGTGCGAAAGAAAGTGAACCAATCAAACTCCCCGCGCTAACTAATCAAATGTGAAGACTCATTTCCTCTGCTTCTCCGATGTTTTCCGGGCTTTTCATTGGTGGTTTTCGTATCTATGTCAAAAGTTCCTGCAGTATGTCAGCAATGAGGGGACAACCACCGCGGACCGTCCGTGGCAACGAGGATCCGTGGATCGGCCCCGCTCGGGATTTGTCGCTGCTGCCTACGCCCTACACCGGACAGTTGTTGACACCTTACATCATGCCGTGCCATTTCAACTCCTCACTTACTATTTCATGATCAATATTTCAATCTGAAGTGAATATTGATCTAAGCATGCCATTGAGAGCTCGCGAAATAAACAAGCACAACATGTCCGGGCAACTCATCTTCTTCGACATTCCTAGCAGAGACGGCACTTGCTGGTCTCTGAACACTTGGAAAAGTAGGCCATTCAACCAGCGGGTAAGAGAACAGAGCTGACATCCGCAATCAGCGCGCTTGGCTCTCAACTTCAAGGGGGTCGACTACAAGACGGAATGGCTCGAGTATCCTGACATTGCAGGCCGACTTGAGGCGGCCGGTCTCAAAGGCGACCCCGACCAGATCAGGCCTTTCACCTGTCCCACCGTTCAGTTTCCCGACGGCACGTACATTATGAACAGCAAGAAAATCATCCCCCGCATTGAAGCCGACTATCCGGAGCCGCCCCTGTACCACGACGCAGACCTGTCTCAAGAGGCGCTCAAGCACATCGCCCCGGTTTGGGACGCCTTGGCACCTATTCTGCTCCCCGTGGCCCCGCGCGACGTTCTGAACGAGCGCAGCGCCGAGTACTTCTGGAGAACGCGCAAGGAGTTTCTGGGCATGAGCCTTGACGAGTTTGGAGAGAAGAACGGCGGCGAAAAAGCGTGGGAGAAGGCCAAGAAGCCCATCGAGGACGCTGCTGCCTTGTTGAACAAGACGGAGGGTCCTTTCTTTCTCGGGAACACAGGTAAGTTACCCTGGCCAGCAGGATGATTGGTGCTAACAAGGGTTAGTTTCTTACGCCGACTTCCTCTATGTTGGCGTCATAGCAATGGCGAAGAGGTTTAACGAGGAGAACTATCGCCGTATCGTCGAAATCGCGCCTGCATTTGACAAGCAGTACAAGGCTTGTGGCCCTTGGCTTGAGAGGAACGATCACTGAGTGAGGAAAGTGATAGGACACTTTGTTTCGCACATCGAAGTCGTTCATCGGTAATTCTTCTTGCTTATTAGGTAGTTGTATATGACTCTATGAAAAGAAACAAAAGAAAGCTTTACATGTACCCAACTAGCTGAAGGCCACATATTACCTTCCGCCTATCGTCTTTCCAACATTATGTTCCGCTCGTCTCCGAATGCATCGCTTTTGTACCGAGCAAGATCGCGGACGAGCCTCCCCGGGTGAATCCAGAGATATAACGCCATGATAACAACCATGAGAGCAGCGTCGAAGGCGTACACAAAGAACTCATGTTTGATGATGTATCCCCCCTCTCCCTGGAGGTACTCGATGCCTCTGACCAAGCTCCTCACAAACATGAGGAGAGCCACTCCATACGTCATCAAGTAGTACTTGTTCCAGTTGATCCCAGCGTGGGTCGCGTTCAGGTTGGGCGCCTCGCGCTTGGCCCATCGATGCGAGTGAGCACAAGAAAGCGCAAAGAGGCAAATGACGCCGAGCTGCGCGAGCAAGCCGCCCATGATGATTTTCCTGCTCATATCGATGGCCGAGGGATCGCCGGAGGCCGGCATGATGGACCCAAACACCTGGCTGACGAAGCAGCCGATGTCGACGACGACGTAGAAGAAGGCGGTGAGCCGCGGGCTGATGGCGGCGTGGCGTCGGAGATCGAGGGCTATGATGATCCGGCCGAGACTCATGTAGATCGTTGCGGCGAAGAGTGGTGGGGATCCGAGGATGAGGAGATTCTGCATGATGAAGGGACCGACGGCGAGCGGGTTTTCGGATGCTTTGACGCGGCCGTAGTAGCCGAACGCCTCGCCTGTGATCATTTTAGCTAAAGGCAACGGCCAAGTGCGAATGTCTAACAGAAGGTAGAGCGCTTACCCACGCCGCCAAGTATGAACGGGAGAAAATGCCACGCGCGAAGCCAAAAGAAGTAGCCCACATGTCCCACGACACCAATAGCAAACAATACCACAAACGTCCAGGATGCTCCTGCATTGGGTCGGTATTCGTAGAAGACAATTTGTGTGCCGTTTACAACGGGCCCAAAAGGGCCATCGCCGTCGTTCACCATGGTAATGGAAGTGGTCGAGGCGGAAGTCGGGAAGATGGCAGAGAAAGAGCCACAGTGGCAAGACAAAAAAGAATGGTAAAAAAAGACAAAATAAAATCAAAGACTAAGGAGAGAATCAGAATCAACATGCTAGAAAACGCGGCTCTTATCATTAATGCTTCACGATTCAGGGGAGCGGGCCGCTGTGGCAGTGACACGGCTTTTTCGTATTCGAATACGAATTTTCGGATAAGAGAAAACGCTCAACGTCGACTCCAATCAGAACATTGCACACGAAACGCGTGTGTCCACTGATTTGGTTAAATATGTTTTTGAACCCAGAATTGAAATGAATAGTGTATAGGGTACTTTTCGGCATCGTTAAGTGTTTACAAATACATGGGTCATGCGCATGACCTTGTGGTACTTTGTATGCATTTCTGAAGCTGTTCCCAACGCCTCAACTCGCTGTAGGTTTCGCTGATGAAGAGGGACTGGTAAAGCAAGTAAAGGACTTAAGGAATGACCTCTCTGCTGTGTCTATAGCGATTCGCAATACACCAAAGACAACAGCCTACCTAGGAAATTCGCCACCGTTTTGAACATGTCTGCGCATGCTTTCATGGATGGCGACATGTAGCTGATTAACAGACTCGGGTGACTGTTGCGTAGCAGCCTTCCTAACGAGCTCTGTGGTTACCTCATTACGGAAGTCGACGAGCTTTGCAATCTGCTGTCGAACTTAGTTGAGAACGGGCATATGCCTAGAACCGCCTTCAGTGTTTATAACATGGTCTTTATCTTAAACTCGAGGAGGCGTGCCATTTTCGGAGGATTGATGTGTGCAATCTGTCAATTAAGATGAGTTATAAGATGTGAGGCTCGGTGTGTGCTGTATAATTAATTAGTAGAATGGGCGCAGGTGGTAGGTTGACAGCCGTATGATGTGATCTGAGTAGCGGTTGGACTGACAAGAGGAGCTGCTCATGGACAGCGTGGAGGAATGGTGTGAGTCCGTCGCAGTCCAGACCAACTACTCAGACTTGACCATGAATGTTGGCCGCCTAAATGTGACGTCAGGAATCAAATCAAAACCGTGCTAAACCTGTCCACATTTTAGAACCATTAAGTGATCTTCACGCCTTCAAGATTTAGGCCACGAAGAGACTTTCACTGTCTTCATCATGAACAGCTGAACAAGGTGATCACCTAGCTCGGGTCACTGATGGGAGTGGATCACTACCCCCGAGATCATCCCTTACCAGGTGGCAATGCTCCTTGAGACCTGGTGGTGCACATGACGCCTTCTCCCAGTCGCCGAGTCGGCCAATACGCTGACAACAGGACTCAACCGCGCGAGAAGCATCTTTTGCACAAAGTCTGGCGGCAACCCAATCTTCGCTTGGTTGGTTCGCGGAAGCCTCCGTGGCGTTCACGACCTAGGCGTCAGACTACCCACACCAATCACGTATTGGAGGCCATCCTGGGCCGTTCACCGTCGGAATCAGGACCCCAGCTCTGTTGGATTACCGCTGCTAGGTAACGTTATGGAGGATACCAATCCACGAACATCACCGTGTGGGTTGGTTGAACTGATCCAGCTGTGTCCCGAAGGCATCTGAAAGCTGGGAAGCTGCCCGTCCGCACAGAATAGCAACTCACGGGTATCTCCACGGGCATGATTTGGCCACGCATATTTTGCACAGTTGGCTTCCACGGGAACTCTTAAGTCTTATGGAAAGGACACCTGACCAACAAGTATCAGACTTACAACCTGTGGACTTGTCTACGTATACTCGAACAGTTTCATATCCCGGGAATGATACAGAGCGGGGGGAAGTTGTCGCCAAGCACAGGTTTAGTTCGAGTCGCCAGCGTTCGGAGCTGAGAGCATGCGCCAGGGCTTTGCACGGCTCTTCCCCACGATGGGTACCGGCGAATATCCACGACTGTGACTTTTCTGCAACATCACTGCCAGAGACTTGGCCTGCGAGCGTGTCTCTGCAATGATCTATTCAGTTGGGCGGCGGTCCTAAAGGATCTAGACAAACATCGAGACCGAAAGGCATTATTGCCAAGCTACAGTATCGGACATTGATCAAAGAATAGAACGATTGATATCAAAACGGATTGGTCCACATGATATTGAGGAGAAGATGGAATTGAGCGAAGGATCGCAAGGTAGGATTTCTCGGGACTGCCAAGATCGGGCCGTTGTTCCAGCGACCGTGACACAGCACCGGGCCAGACAATCCAGTCGGTGCGTAATTAAGAGCGCATAGCGACCTCTTCTCAGTCGCTTCGTAGTGACTCTTGGCAGCTGCAAGCCGTCAGAAATACCTCCAGCAATAATCCGGAGGATCGTGCAAGTTGACTGGAAACCTTACGATAGCAGGGCGTCGGGCCTATGGGGTTATGCCGGCAGAAGAAATATCTTGGTCCGGCCCCCAGCTGAAAACCGTGCCTTGCTTGGCTCTTTTCAGGGCATGATGCAGTGCGAGGTTCGGAACCGTAGTGTGGTAATATGTTGCGCAGCTGCGAGGAGAAGAAAAGCACAGCTGCCTGTGATAATATTGCATGATGAGTCGGCAAGTGGTACAAGACGGAGGCGTAGGCTCTTGACTGAGATTGAACTATCAAACGGCCCGGGGGCGGTCCGGAGGCCGCCGCCTCGTCCGGACAAGATGCGCCGATGGGCTTGTTGAGGCCCGCCTCCGACCGACATGTGAGACCGTGGCGACAAACCCAACGGAATGAAAACAGAGGGATACTGACGATCAAAAGCCCTTGCCGCAAGCACTCTATCGCCGGCGAACAGTCTTAGAGTGTCTCTGGATGATGGGCAGAGCAGACAGGTTGGCGCGTGGGAGGTTAGTCACTGTCAGTCAAGCTTTGATGGAACGCGCAGGTACCCGTTAGTGGTTCAGTTGCGCAAGCGTGTGGTTGCTTCTTCTAGAGTCGATAATACAATTCGAGATGTCTAACCGGCGGCAGTGGAAAATGGCAGGTGAGACTCTGACTTTGCCGCCAACACGTCTGGATCATGACGCGATAGCCGGCAGTCGTGAGTCTCGCTCTCTCTGGCCGGTACTCGGTGATGCAGGTACAATGCGGGCGAGCAGCACCAACGGACGGTCGATTATGATCGGCAATGGGATGCAGGGCTTGAGCCTTGTGAACCTGGACAAGGTGAGCGCGAGCGAATGGTCCGACGCGCGAGGCAGGCCGGTCTTGGCATTGACCGGGGCTTGTCAAATCGTAAAAGTTGTCCGTTCATCAGGTAGGCGATCCTTGGGGACCCCGGAGGAGCTGGCGAGTGCAGGTGCGGGCACGTCAGAGAACGCCAAAACGTCAGTAATTGACTTCTTGGACGGGGAGAGTGTGAAGCAGCCTGAATGGCAAATGAGATGATCGGCGAGGGACAGTATTGACAGACGCGACTGGGTGGAAGGCGCAAAGGTGAGACTGAGAACAGACATCTCAAACGGCACGAGAAGCCGTATCCGTGCCGGTGCCTGATTCTTGATCAGATTGGCGTGCCGTGGCTGGCGGCCGTCGAAAGAAGGCGCCGCACTGGATTCGTAGGTCGATCGGGCGGAAGCCAAAAATAAGACTTGAAATCAGACAGGAATAAGAAACGGCGTGCTTGGCTGCCTGGTTGGGATGGTGTTGGGATGGTGTCGGGATGAGTTGGACAATATCCCCATGTTCCTGAATGGCTTCATCTGGTGTTCAAACAATGGGTGACAGCCAGCTGGAGCCTTCAGCCCGAAACCATGCTTGTGTGCCTGCATGCCAAGTGTCTTGGTCATTTAGCAGTGGGTGCTAAGACGGTGTAAGGCTCGCAAACCATCTTGGCGAGGCCAAAGGGCGGTAAATTCAGCAACGTGTTTGCTTGGCCTTTCAGGTTGTGGTTTATTTTGTGAAGACTGTGTCGCTGGGTTAAGTGGCAGTATTGGTGGCCAGTGAACACGGCAGAAGAAGCATAAAATAAGTATCCCGACCTTGCCAGAAACGGAAACACTCAGATCGCCCACGTGCCTGCCTTTGCGTCGACGGTTCCCCCAGGAAAGAGGCTGGTCAGGAAGGAGCAAAAGAGTACCTGGGCAGGAACAGAAAGCATCGAGGGGAAGGACCACCTGTCCCTGCCCTGCCCCCGTAAGCAGCCAGCCAGTCAGCAATCAAGCTGTGAGGTGGCAGGCGCGACACCGAATTGGCGGCAGTTGCAGCCAGCAATGAAAGAGGAAACTGCGACGGCAGCGCGCTTTCCGCGGGCTGCACAAAGTTGGAAAGCACAACGGATGAACGACGTTGTTTCCTTTCCATCACAATAATAATCGTAAGGCTGATGAAACCAATCACACCCACGGCAATGCAACCCTCCCAACCAAAAATCTAGTCAGGCAGTGACCACCTACCTACAGCAAGGTAAGGTACCTTCGGCGTCGGAAGAAGGTACGGCTACTGCTCCCATTGTAGGTCGTCCATCCATCGCGATGCCCTGAGCTGCACTGCGAAAACTTCAATTGGATATCCAATGCAACATCCACCTCTCCCCGCTGGTCGCATTCGCGGGGCCCCAAATACGAGCGCAATCCACGAATTCATACTTTTTGCAATCAATCTGACGTAGGACAAGACTCGACAAGAAGTCTGTCAGCCCGAAGCGGAGCACAACATCCCTAAACCTGGAAGCCAACTCATCCACTCCTTCTCCCCACACACGAGACACTGATGGACATGGACAAAAACGAAGCGACCGGGGCTTTCTCGCGGGCGGTGGCACAGCAATCAGTCACTCAATCAGTACTTGCGACTCACGATTCGCGACGCAGCCTGCAGTGGCATACACCTCGCCGCTCAACTGTGCCAGTGCTGCTGCCTGCCCTTTTTCTGCCTTGCAGGAATCTCAGACCCTCGGAGATGATCAAAATGCGACACATCGGCCTGGACAATCAAGGGCTTGCGCAAGTCGGACGACAGCCGGTGGCATCAACACCAACAGAAGCGAGCGAGAAAGA